CTCGCTTGATAAAAGTACCAAGCATATATCGATTCAGATTTTTAGCGATTTTTATTTATTATAATGTATCTGCAGTGAAGCAAATTTATTGAATAAATTCCGTATATATGCATCTGTATAAATTCAATAATCGCAAACTAAAGAATCTGGAACGTGTCAAAATAACGCGTACTGTAAACCCAGCGTCGATTTTTATATTCTGGGTTACGATAGACCCGGGTACCGTTGCCAGTGAGTGAAAATTTCGCATCGACGTCAGACGGCTATATTTGTGGCTGTATATTTCTTGGCTCGATAAAATGTACTTCGTTTTATCGATTTTGATTTCCTTTCGGGTGATTTCTAAAAAAAATTCTCGCATGTCGGATATATTTTCCGATAAAAATCGTAGATTATTGGCAGTTTTGTAGATACAGTAGTAAGTCAATTCGCGATGGATTTTTCTTTCTTTCTTTTTTTTCGGCGCACTTTCAACCCGAGTTTTTAGCAGTATAGTCTGATTAACCGGAATATGGGGTTTCGTTAAAAACGCGATTGCATCGGTTCGATCGTTCAGCTATTTCGGCACGAAACGATGCACCGAGTAATTTGGCAACTAAATAGCAACACCTGTCAACGATTTTCACTTGCAAATCTAGTGCCGTGCGCACACTATCCGCTGAACATTCGAAACCACTAAATCGACAATTGTAGAACGCGGATTTTGCGTGATTGCGAGAACAACGGCGAACAGAGAAAATATTGTTACATTACACGATCGAACTTCAAACTTTTTGTCGTTTCAGGTGTGATAGCAAAATTCAAACGAAATATTTTTCTTTCACAGTTGTACAGTCTAGAACTAGTCCCTTTAACGTTTAAAGGAGGCCATTCGAGCGATAATCAACCAGCAGTGGTTTAGTAATTTTCCGTAGTGTCAATAATTATCGCTAAAATTGAAATAACTCGAACAATAATACAATTCTCAAGCTGAAATGTTCACTGCAATTTCGTGTACACGATGTTGAGGAGAATCGGTTACGGATTTCTCAGTCTGATTTTTCTTTCATGAAAACAAAATTCCTTTATCAATTTTACAAAATTTATTGGCAAAATAATTTGCACATGATTCGAGTCAGCGTAAAGAAATTCCGTCAAAATGCACGGTTTCGTTTATTCGGAAAATTACTGCTGGTCGATTGTCGCCTGAATGTCCTCCCTTAACCCCTTAACGCACAGCTTTTTTGAAAAGAAAACCGTCCAAAAAAAATCTATTTTTGTTTATGTAAAAAAACACAATTTAGAACGTGGTCTTGACAAAAAAATTAAAAGAATACAAAAATAATCAAAATTTTTATTTTTATTTTGGATTTGCTCATTTTTCGATATATATTTTACTATCAAAATCCAAAATTAAAATAAAAATTTTGATTATTTTTGTATTCTTTTAATTTTTTTGTCAAGACCACGTTCTAAATTGTGTTTTATATTATACATTTTATATTTTACTATATATATATACTTCAAAAGAAGATATAGCCGTTGATTGGAAGTAGATAAGCAATATCCAACTAAATCCACATCCTCAAAGGTTTCCATTTATTACCGCCCCTGATTCAACTTCTCTTTTGGTGGAAAATTTTGATATACTGCGTTTTTGTTCTATGAAAAAATTATAGCTTATGAGAAGTTACAGCTTACAATCCCATGTAAATGATAAATATCAATAAAACGATTCTTTTTTCTTTGCTTTTCACATTGTTATTTTCAAATTCTCGATTACATTCGAGTGTGAAAAATTGTAACAGCATAAAATACAACGCCGCTCGAATTATCTCGAGTGTGCACAATTTGGCCTGATCAGCGCGTTCGAATTCACTCGAGCGTACAAGTTAAGAGGTTGAAAAACTTGAAGACGTTTCGTCCGATTTGGAGAACGTCGTCGCGTTTTAGAAGGTGTCCGAACACCTTCCGCCGTTACCAGATCGGCGTCTAGATATTCCGAAAATGCAAAAAAAAGAAAAATAAAGCCGGCGTCGCGTGTTACGCGGACGGCTCTTTGGCCAGGAATTACAGGACGGCACCGCACACTATTGATTGCTGGACGGGGCCGGTGCTCCGTGCGTCCGATATTGCATTACCGATAATACGCGTTCGATATCGTGCGTGGCTATTATGGAATTTGTTGTAGCGGATACTTGGCACGGATTCCGAGCCGCGCGACGTTGACAAATGGACGCCGCGTTTGCCACCGGCGCTCGCCGGATCTCCCTGCGCGCGATACAAATGATCCCGTGACGAAAACCACGGCACCGTGTCCGATTTTCTTGATGACTCGAGGAGAGAAAAAAAAGAAGGGGGGCACGCCGCGCAACACGCCGCCACGGTCGCCGCCTTTCGCACGCCGGAACGCGGCCGTTTCTTACGACGGGAAACGGATTTATTGGTCTTCTTAGCGTCATTAATTTCCCCCTGTTACCGTCCACCTCCGGCAATTGAGAGTCTAATCCATATTCCGATGGCTACGCGCCCGGCAAAATGTTTCATCAGTTTTACTCGTATTCCGCGTCATCGTGAAGAAAGATTACAATGAGGAAGTCTGTTGTGTCCCGTCGGAAGGCTGTCGATACCTTTTTCCTTTCCTTTTTTCATAGTTCTCTCTCACGTTTTTCAAGCGAAGAATTGGGTCATTCGGAATTGTTTCTCGACCGATTCATTGTTTCCCCCTAGCCTCGCTATCGATTCGATCCGCTCGTAAGTGCTCTGCCTCGTTCGAAGCCGACATCATTGGAACATGATTATCGTAATTAGTTAATTAATCAACGTCTTCGCTCGTTTCAGGACGCGGGACATGCGCGGACCTTTGTTTCTGTTCTTAGCGATTCGAGAGTGTTGACAGCGATTTAATAATGTGTTCATTTTCGTCGGAAGTCTATAAAATCAGCTGTCTATCCTTGATAACGCATCTTTTCCGAGAGAAAATTTGACCTTTTTTACAATTTTAGGTGCAATGGTGAAACGTAATTCCTGTCGAGCACTGTTCTTGAAGCTGAAGAAACTCTTGCGACGGTTCCAAGGCTGTTGCTTTCTACCGAATCTTGATCTTGATCATTGAAGATAGCTTCGAGAAATTTGTCAAAATCCACAGAAAGCAACAGTTGAGCCGTTTATTTCGAAAGTGGCATAAGTCACTTTGTTTTTAAGTCGATATATTTAAGGGTTTGCGTTTTAACACGTTTAAGAATATGGATGCTAACTTTCGAGATTTACTTGTATATGTTATCTCAGGATACTGATATTTTTCTCGGTATAAATAATTTCGTATAAACATTAAACAATCACCACTTTTCATTACGGTAAAGTGACTTATGCCATTTTCAAAATAAACGGCTCAATTGATCATTTGTAACGAGAAAGAAGAGCGACCGAAATTCCTCAGGGAGAAATTCAGGTATTTCTGCGCGAAAGTTCCGACTTCTGAGACATAATTCTATGTATGCAAAACCCGTTAAAATCACTAATCGCTAATTTTTTAATTTACGATCATTCAGATCGCGAAAATTACGACTTATTTGTTCGATATATTGAATAAAAATCGGAACGATCGTCTCATCGTTATTTTTATAAATTAATGAAGAACTCAATAGCTAAAATTATTAATAAATTAATTAATTAATAGATAAATGAATAGGTTCTGGTACTCCGTGGATCTAGCGTTAATCAAGTGTGTTAATTAATCTGATGTTAATGTTCAAGTTATTTGCGAAAGAATCAGCAACGAGAGGGATAAGATTTCGGGGCGAGATTTATTTTACAGAAGTTCTTAGAGCGGTATTAATGGTACAGGAGGCGCAATTACAATGCGAAATACATACGTACAAACAGAGAGTCTTCTCGTAGAATCGATCGGGCGGCGTATCGCGCGCCCGAATTGAGCATTGGCACGTACTTAAATTCCTACCGTTCGCAATGACATAATCCGCGTGCACCGTTTACGTCGGCCAATAAATTTCCATCGATCTGTACACCGCGATGTGTCGTTCAATCTCGACAAACGAGTCGCCATTCGATACCCACCCTAAAACGGAACGTTTCGACGGCTCGCAATTTGCAGTAGGACCTCGATTGACCGGCTCAACCCCCGGACCACCGACTGAGAGCACAATTTCCAACATATAATTAAACCGCGTTTATAGTTCCTCAAACGTGATCCCCGTTAAAAAAAGTAATTCGCTCGGAGATGTCCTTTCCTTTTCGCGCAGTAAAAAATACATATATATATATTATATAATATTATAATATTAATTATATAATATATTATAATATTATATATATTATATAATATATTATAATATTATATATATTATATAATATATTATAATATTATATATATTATATAATATTATTATATATATGTACGTATATTATCACTCCCACCGGCTTCCAAAATCATAAATTTCAAGCCTATATAATATCGTGCAACGTTGAAGTTATTCTTCCTAAATGAGCAATTCTTTGATCACGATTTCTCATCGCTGGACTGCAAATTTGTTGTATTTCTGACAGAAATGAGTAGATCAAAATATCAAATAGAGAACAGTGGAAATGTTTAATAAATTGTAAAACATTACTGCACTATTTTCAACCGAATACAATAAATAGGGAATGAACGAAATGTCTATGCAGCTTCTGCATCTTGCAATTAATGCAGACAATTTTTTTTATCAGACCACAGTCTACTCAACAACAATTATGATGTATCTTTTACAGAACATTTTGAAGTAATTCACTTCTTGTTTTGGCTTGGAATAATTTATAGGCTTAAAATAAAATTTATGTATAGATTTTTAAATAAAATATCCTGCGGAAGAACAATTTTTCGGCCGAATACAAACCGTAATGCAATCAAAAAGTGCATAAAGATCCACAGTCCCGTCGACGATATACAAACATCCGCATCTCCCAAACATGGTAATATAAAAATCAGGATTGTAACAAATAAATAGGCGATGGTCCAAAGGTTTAACCGTATGAAAAACAATAAATTAATCGGTCGTGTTTTGTACAGGCAATGCTACTCGCTAGATAGAGAATGATCTTAAAATGTACAGTTAGGTAAATCGAGGTCCTGGCAAATCTTCGTACGGGATTCACGATTATCGAGCTCGAGCCAAGCGATTTCGTTGCTCGTCCAGGATCAGCGACGCCTCGCCCATGATTTTCGCACTCGTTCGGACCAGGAACAATAGCTGGTACTCGTCCATGACGGTCAGGGATGACCTGGTCCTGACCAGGGCGTGAAGAACGTTTGCTCTCTCCAGATCGAGCCATCTTTGAAGGGTGACTTCCCTCTCCCGCGGCCCTCCGAGGGTCACGTCCGCTGGACCCCACAGAGAAAACTCGAGAACCGACTTCACCTGCACAAAGAACACGTCTCAGGTTCTACCAAAGAACCTCGGGGGACCTGGCTGAAAGCTTCGAACTCTTTTGCACCCCAAAAGTCTGCGCCCGGAAAGTTTGTATTAAAAGTCGACGATACATCCTTCATTCAAAGTTTAATAAAACGGCTGGAAAATATCGTGTCCCGAATTTTGGAGAGTCGTTTCAAAGGGAATGCTTCGATCTTTGAACTGGTGTTAGTGCCGATCGCGAGAAAAATTTGTCAACGTTTCTGCAGAGATCTCAATTCGTTTCCGTTCGGAAAGATTGTATTTAGAGGCAGCGGTACACACTTCATTCAAAGCTCGATAGAAGGACTGAAAACAATCGTACCTCAAATTTTGAGGAGTCATTTGAAAGAGCAGATTTTGATCTTTAAACCAGTGTCACTCTTAATTACGAGAAAAAATTGTCAAGGTTTTCTACAGTGATTTCAATTTGTTCTTCTTCAGGAAGATTGTATTTAAAGTCAGTGGTACACCTTTTATTCAAAGTTCGATAAAAGGATTGAAAAAAATCGTACCTCAAATTTTGAGGAGTCGTTTGAAAGAGCAGGTTTCGATCTTTAAGATAGTGTTAACCTTAATCACAAGATAAAATTGTCAAGGTTTTCTACAAAGACTTCAATTTATTCTTGTTTAGAAAGATTGCATTTAAAGTCAGTGGTACATCCTTCATTTAAAGCTCGATAAAAGGATTGAAAAAAATCGTACCTCAAATTTTGAGGAGTCGTTTGAAAGAGCAGGTTTCGATCTTTAAGATAGTGTCAATCTTAATCACGAGAAAAAATTTTCAAGGTTTTCTACAAAGACTTCAATGTATTCTTGTTCAGAAAGACTGTATTAATTGTCGAAAGAACACCCTTCGTTCAATGTTCAATAGAGGGGCTGGATAAAATCGTATCACAAACTTCGAAGGGTCTTCAATCTTTAAACCTATTGTAGCCTCATTCGCGAAAAAAAGTGTTCAATCTATCCGCAAACATTCCAATCTATCCATAGACATACACCTCGAAGCATGATCGATGAGGAAGATGTGTTCAGTTTCCCACCTGCCGTCTCGAGCAAAAATTTCTTTTGAAAATATGATCGACGCGTTGAAAGTAGAAGCTTCGAGCTTTAAATTGAGAAGTGTTGCATTATCGTACGATCCGTTGTCGCGAAGTTACAATCACCTGAACCAGCTGAGAAAAGAACCGTGGAATTCCGAAGGCCGAGAACGATCGATACCGAGAAAGTCATTTAATAATTACTTTCGCGTTGCAGGGGCGAGTGGGGAGTGTTTCGTGATTAGCCCGTAACGAACTAAATTTGATCGTCGTTGTGTACCCAGAGCAGCGAGACACAATTACGGATGCTCGGCGGCACGGCGTTAATTCCTGATTAATTCAGGCGTCGCACTTGTTTCCTACCTGAGACAGGGTGACGGCTTTCTCCCTTATCAACAATTCCTGAATCAAAGGCATCCGGCTCGTTAAGTTCAGCTGCTGCAATGCCAGAAGCGCGCAACGGCACAGCGATACCCTCTCCTGCTCCCTCTCCTCGTTCGTGTCCACGTTCAATCTACCGGCCGTTACCGAACAATGAGTAAACCAATATCGAGGGAACGTGATTTCTTCGGACGCTAGGTTTACCGACCCTTGAAGAAGATAGAGCCTGTAGTAGGCGTTCTTGTCCTCCCTGCAGAGAACAACGTTGCTCAGACTTCGCGCGGACTCCTCGATACCGCGGGCCTGCAGGCTCTTCAACGCTGTCACGAATTGAAGCAGCACGAACGAGGCTTCCCTGACTGTTCCCTCGTCCTGCATGTCCTTTATCGTCAGCCCGAACGACTGTATGCTGCTCACCTGGAGTCGCGGGAACACGGATATGGTCGCTGAAATTGAAATCGCGATCCTTTTATTCGACAACGTTCGCCGAGTGGCGTACCTCACTGTTTGCGCTACGCATGGGACCGAGGAGCGACAATTGTCGAAGCACAGGGTGCGAATCACCTCTTGGTTATCTCTGGAGGCTTCTGCTTATTTCAGATTACAGCAAATTTTCCCTAATTTTCCTTCAACTTGTAAACAAAAATGAACAATTTTGAGAAGAGAAAATACGATTATTCGAGCCTCGCGGCTCATTTTTATGGTTGTCAATCGTTAATAATAAAATCGCTATCTCCTCCTCCCAAATTTTCCATTGTTGCTTGCAAGCTGAGGGAAAATTAGGGAGAATTTACTTTTTTTGTAGAGACTTTTTTGTATTTCTGAAGACCTCTGATTATTTTTAGAGATTATTTTATGCAATCATAGTGACGGGTCGGACGATAATGAAATTAGGAGCAATTAAAGAGACAAGAAAATTCATCGGCGTATCACTTGCCAACAATAGTTGATAAAGATGTTACACAAATTTAGAATAACCAATGATCACGAATAGGATAGAGATTTTTTAACTGATGATCACAGATGGGATAAAGATTCTTTAACCACTGATCACAGACAGGAAAAAGATTCGTGTCGCGCCAACGAAAATATTCATTTCATTTTCTTATAATCTTCTAGTTTACAATTTTTATTTCATTTATGCACTCTCTAAATATTTTCAAAATTTTTATTTCCTTCTATTTCTCGTATGCACCGAACAAGACAATATCACAGTATAGATAGTGTGCCGTATGCATCGCTATAATATGCACTTTGCTTTACACTTCGCAGCAATATGCACTGGCAAAATGAATTAATAATGCGAATGCCGCAGAAACGGGCAATCGGCAATGCCCAAAGACAGAGCGTAGCGTCCCTAATTGGTCACTGAATGCACACCGAATGCGCCGGAAGGAAGTAAAGCTTCCACAATGCGATTCCGCGATAATAAATAGCGGACGCCGGTAAAGAGGGATTATCGCTCTCATAAACTCGGGATTAACGGGGTCCCGTATTAACGAAACAGTGGTCGCCGCGATGAGAAACGGTAACTGAATTTTTCACGAGGCCTTAGTAAACTGCAATACCGAGGAACTGCAGATAATGCAGCTCCGCAGATAATGAATCATCCTGCGTTTAAAATCGATTAAGAGGGGCGGGAGGATTGTAATCGGAAGATTTCCTTGGTGGCGCGAGCATCGAACGGTTACGATTATTGAGGGGCCAATACCGTGAAAGTATTTACACCGCGGGACCGTTTATCGGATAGAAGTTAAGGCCACGGACGGAAAGAGAGAGAGAGAGTGGAGGAGAGAAGCGAAGAAGAAGATAGAAGATATTGAGTGTAGGTGTACCTTCGAGCTGCTTGTTCCCCGGCAGACACGTCCCGCCGGTAATTTCCTTCGGTACGCTGTCTATAAACTCGATTATAGGTGCCATATAAAATTCCTTCCTCGACACGTGTGTGGCCAGATCGAACGCGACGGACAGGCTGACGTTCAGCTCGTTCCACGTCGCCGAATAAAATATTCTTCTACCGACGGTGATCGACGTATTGGTATCGATGCCGAAGTGGCTCAGACGGGGATTCGTATTTTTCAGGACGCGCAGCCCCGTCGCCACTTGCGGAGTTTGGTTCAGCTGCAACAGATCGAAACGGAGATCTGCATTTCTCATGCATAGAGTCCCGTCCGACGTGGTTTAACGGGGGACGATGCACCGAGGCCCGTCGACCGCCAACGTCGTCGCGTCGGACCGCGTAAGTCCTTGCAAACACGACAGTTTATTCGAATTCATAATCTGTCGCCATAATTTCATTAGGCTTCTCATCGCGATCGGTTTTCTGTGCACCTACGTTCGTAATTAATCGGATCTTTGTTTACCGATCTTGATTGTTTTCACACTTTCTGTCGATGTTCGTCATCTTTATTCGCGAATTTCTTCGCAATGATCATTAAAGTTATTATTAAATTTTCTTTATTAATGAAATTATCACTAATTCTTTTTATTATCAAATTATTAATTTGTTTTATTATTGAAATTGATTAATACAATTAATTATGAAAATAGATTGATACAATCGATTATTAAAATTAATTATACGATTAATTGTTAAAACTAATTGATGCAATTAATTAATAAATTTAATTATTAATCGGTTAACTGTGTTCAACGAGTATACTCGTCATAACAGGGATATATAATCCTTATTAAATGATACAGTTTATAAAAGCGATATATTCAAACAAAATATGAAGAAAATAAAAAATGTTCGGTATAGTCACAGTGATTTACACACTTCTGAAAAATATTACAACAATTAAACTGGTTAACAATTTTACCATGGTAAACATTTAAACCGTGGTACTATCGGAAATAAATATAATAAAATAATCGACAGTGTTTCATCGATACAGCAACACCGATTCGATTCCTGAACGTAATAACGGTAGTACATGGTTATGATTTATGCATATATCCGACTTATTCAGATGTCGGGATAAAGAGGATAAGCGGAGATCCTTGAACTCTCTCCAAGAATCATAGATACCTGTTCGAGAAACTGCGCAAGGGCTTCGTGGTTCGCAACCACCACCGCCCCGTAATTATCCTCGAGGCTCCGATGAACTATGCTGCGACCTCTACGTTGCCTCAATCGGCTTATCCTTAATTCGTCGTCCTTGCTCTTCCAGTCCTGATCCTCCTCCGGGCCCTGAATTTTAAAAATCCCATCGTAAATTCCGCGCGATCTATAGAACCGTTTCCCGAGCAATATCATTAACCAACACCGTTTCATTAAAACGAAAGTAACCCATCCGTGCCGCCATCCGCGTCTAAAAAATTCAAAGAAATTTCTGATCGCGATAACATCTTTTTGTTTCGCGTTAATCGATCAATGCAAACCGACCGGGAAGTTTGAATAAAAACTCGAGAACTCGTCTCGAATCGCGAGAAAACGATTCGAAACGGAAGCCACGCCCACCGCGGAGCGAACTGGGCGTGGCAGAGTCGGCGGGTCGTCGGTGGGGGGACCGGCCTTGAGCCTCGGATCGAACCCGCTCCGGCTGTAGGTCGCGGCGGACGTAAAACTCCGGTCTCTAACTTTATTATTCAGCAGCGTATGCATTTTTTCGATCAGCCCGGCCGCCAGTTGGCATGGTAGTTGCGCGCGATCTCCGGCGGAATTCTGCCGGTTGAAGTCGGAAGCAAACCGTGTCTACGGCAAATTGACAGGAAGCTATGTGCGAACGCGGCAGTATTCCGCCGTCACGTTTCGCCGGCGGCGACGGAGCAGACCTACGTAAGTAGAGAAATCGTACCTCATCGCCCGTATAAAAACCGTACGGTGCGTAGAGCTCGCTCTCGGTCTCGCTGCCGCAATACGGGAGCGAAGTCGATCTGGCGAACGTCTGCTGATGAAATTTGAATTCACCGCCGGTCTCCATCGCGTTGCTGTCGGATTTCCTCTTGCTGCTGTGATGAGTTCCGACCGCGTGTCGGAGCTCGAGGCTCGAGTCGCACTCCGGCGAGCTGGAAAGGCACTCGTATACATGACTGTCGTTCGACGTCTGGAACAGTCGGGGAACCGAGGTTAGAATCAGCCGTGTTAACCATCCAACGCCGAACGCCTCGCAGAAGCTCTCCGTCCAACTTGGCGTCTGGGATTGTTGGACCAAGCGAGCTTTACGCAAAACCGTCGTTCGCTTCTGCGAACGAGCTTCGCGTTTGTAAAACTGCCTCGAATTATTCCGGTTCCCTCCGACTCTGATTCGAGGGATTTAGGATCATTTGCGGATTTGCAACCTCTGGTTCTACAGGGTGTTCCAAAATTATGGTTCTTCTTGGAAATTGTGGAGTTCCTTAGGTCATTTGGAGCAACTTTTTCCTTAGCGAAAATGCAATCCGCGACTTCGTTTACGAGTTATTAACGAAAAACGCTGACCAATGAGAGGCGAGCTCGCCTAGCGCCTGTCTCTTATACACATCTAGATGTGTATAAGAGACAGCCGCAGCTTCGTTCACGAGTTATTAACGAAAAACAGTGACCAATGAGAGCCGAGCTTGACTGGCGCTAGGCAGTTGCGTCAACGAGCGGTCGAAGTCCAGTTCCTCTGATTGACTCGGCCGCCTAGCGCTAGGCGAGCTCGCCTCTCATTGGTCAGCGTTTTTCGTTAATAACTCGTGAACGAAGCTGCGGATTGCATTTTCGCTAAGGAAAAAGTTTCTTCAAATGACCTCAGGAACCACACATTTCCCGGAGACACCCTGTATATCCTGCGCAATTGACAGTGGTCCAGCAATTCCAGGCTGAACAGAAGGTGTTCAAGAATTCAGACTCTTCGACGCTAAAATAAATCGGTTCTATATTCTTTACTTGAACAAATTAAGTGCCGAATGTTAACACGAAAAATACACACAATATCAAAGTCATTTAATTAATGACACCGAATCTAGAAAGCGAAAATTTGCCATAGGAAATATCGGTTAATTATAATATTATAATAATTTCATTATAATAATAATAATTGGTATTATTTTGTGTTCTACAAATCCGAGTAACACTCAATTCGTTCAATATATTGCAATCAAAATAAATTTCGAAGAGCTGGTTAAAAATTAATTTCATCCATTCGTGACTCACGCGTCAATATATTAAAATAAAAATGACTTTCAAAAACCTAGTCAACACTAGATTTACGGAGCACAAAAAACAGCTGTTTCATATTAGTTTATAAAACTAACAATAAGACATTTATCTGATTTTTAACAAGTGTTATCCTAACATTTGCCGTAAGCGACATACGAATTGAACAAATAACTCACAAACGTATCTTTACGATACGAATAATCGTAAATTTAAAAAATTAACGAATTGGTTCCGTGAATCTAGCGTCAAAAATTAGTGTCACCCACAAGTGACTCCCGCGGCGTAGAACGTATCAACGTTGCCGAAATTGCGAAGACTCTCACATCGCAAATGATTGAACCAAGTTCTGAGTGCCAGCACAAATTACAGCAAAAAATATTGAAAAATCTGACTCGTTTTTCGTTGCCACGTCACGATGTTCACGGGCGTCAGCCGCGTTTAGGACTCGTCCTGCTCGCGATGTCTAAATGAAACCGTCTTCATGTAAATCCTGTCGATCTAATCAAGATTTATCTCGGCGTCGATCCCGCCCCGGTATTTAACTCGGCGTCTAAAAACCCGGAGCAATTAAGTGTCGGCAGTCTCGTCCCGATAAATCTCCGTCGATCTAGACCTTAATCTCGACAAATGATCTCGCGCCCGGTACACGAAGCCGTCGGATTAAAACAATAAATAACTAAAACAGAAGCGCGCGGGTCGGAGAGGGTCGGTTGGCAAGGAAGCTAACCGGAAATCGATGTCCAGCTGCGAATCCCCCCGGGACCAGGGACATCTGTGCTCCCGCGGCCGGGGCTCGTCTAAATTCTTAAACACCTTTCCCCGTGGCACATAAAAATCGTTAAAAGCCCGTTAAATAGTAGCATTACCAGGGAATCGGACGCAGTCGGCGCCACGGCCACCGCTACGCCCTCGTAATCCTGATTAAGTGCCGGGCTGGATGATCCGTGTTTCTTGAGGATCGGCTGGGAGGTCGCCTGGTCCCTCATGCTGGCGGTTCGCTGGGGTTTCGAGGGTGCCAACGAGCTGCGCACCTCACCTGTAACATCCTCCGCTGCTGCAGGCACGTCCGCCATCGTCAAGCGCCACGGGTTAGTACCACAAGACACAAGGCATGTCACAAAACAGGCTAGCTAACGGTAACTAGCTAGGACGGTATACGCTTCCAGCGATACTCTGGGGACACCCGCTAACGCGCTAGTATACCCTAAGTTCACCGGGCTGTTTTTGCTGGGTGGATCAAGCGACTAAACGTACAGGTCGACCGAGCATTACGGATTACGGGAGAGCTTGGGGCTCAGAGGGGGCCAGGAACGAGGGGGTCCTCGGGGATTCCGACCAAGTCGGTACTACTCGGAACCAGAGACGATCGTAAGGCGCCCAGCATTCGCTTGCGAATTACTGGACCCTACTGCCAGCCGGTCCCAGTTCGACGGAAGGCAATTTAACTGCCGAACTTTCGGTTACGTTCGTTCGTTCGTTCGTTTGTTCGTTCAAGGGATACTCAGTTTTTGTAGGGCAGTCGAGCCGGTTATCCGCGAGGCAACCAGTTGCGGTCGTTCGTTTTCGGGCACGATTAACTTTATATTTATCGGACAAGATATCGTGGATTTGTTTCATTCGTTTGTTTGGTTTGGTTTTTAATTGGACCGAAGGCATGGCAATCGAACGCGCAACGGTAACCGACTGCACTACTCTAAAATGGAATTTTTCAGGATGGGTGGACTTTCCAAGGTCGTTCTGCTTTTACACAATCAAATGTTCTTGGGATCTTTGTCGTTGTGGAGTTTGAAGGGATTTCAACGAGATCGTTGCAACGATTTGTGGAGAAATTCAAGGGAAATTGGTAAGAAATCGTCGAGGATGGTTTAAGAATAATTATGGTAGTATAAGAGATCAATTCTATTGGTTATGTCAAGATTATGTCAAGATTATGTCGAGAGGTAATTTTCAATTCTTCTGAATTCTCTCGATTATTGTCAATTCTATTGGTTATGTCAAGGTTATGTCAAAGTTATTTTCAGTTCTTTTCAATTCTTTCGATTATTATCAATTCCATTGGTTAAGAATAGATCTAATTTATGCGACGAACATTTAATTGTGTATATAATAATCACTAGATTGCGAATCTTTACGCAAAATAAAAATGTCCTGCTCTAATTACAAGATACAGTTGCCTAACCATTTTAATAAGTTGAAAATACTGTATTCCTAAATTCCATAAATTTTTTTACTGTTTTGAAATTGACCGATACATTTTTGTTATAATTGCATAAAAACCGCAATAATCGTATAAATTCAGTGGAAAGAGGAATTATAGGGCGAGGATTGATAGCGTTGGAAACTATACTTAACCCCACGCCGTACAATAAATTTAAAAATCAGAACATTTTCGATTGTAACAATTTTCTCGAAGAAAAAGAAAATTTATATTCGTTGTCTGCTTATATCTAATTGAGCGCATAAACGTTGACGACAAGTGAACAGTATTTTATTCGATCTTAAAAGAACAGAGTTTTCCAAATTTGAAAGAACGATTCATAGTTAACAGGTTAGTATAGTAAATTCTCCCTAATTGACACTCAGATTGTACACAAAAATGGACAATTTAGAAAGTGGAGATACGATTATTCAAGCCTTGCGGCTCGTTTTTATAGTTATCGATTGTCAACAACTACAAGAACGAGTCGCAAGGCTCCATTTTTGTGGGCAATCTGAGCGTCAATTAGGGTGAATTTACTATACTAGAAATCAATCGTCGCAAGTCAGTCTCCGCGAAGTACGGCAAGGTGTTGACAAGCACAGTAATTTCTAAGTATAGTGTTTCTAAGAAGAAATTACTGTACTTCGACGTCGAAGATAGTTAATGCTCGGTGGAACTATACCTAAATACAAGGAATCCTGCGACGACGCCATTTCTCCGTCAGTCGAACAAACCTCTCGACTGTCTTGCCGGCCATTTTTACGTTAATCCAGGCGCAGTTGATAAGCCGACTGCGAATGTTTACGCGAGTTTAGCTTTCCAAACGAAACGTAAAATCGATTCTCGCGCGTTGGCCGCCGCAGTAAACTCATGAACGGCCGTTGCCAGCTCGCAGGTCTTTCGCCGGGGCTGCTTAGAGCCTCGCTAACTACTTTCAGGAACAAGAGACAGTGATTGACACTCCGTAGCGGGGTCAGGCTTGATCGAATTTAAACTTCCAAAGCGGTCGACCAGCAAGTTCTTACGCCGAAGACACTAATAAGGCAGAAGTACCTATTATTGAACGGTTTGCGGGGTGTACAAGATCGTCATCGATTTTCTTACAACACCGAACGATGTCACTGTTGAATATTCATGCTACCGTTCGATAGATCGGCGTTGCCAGATAACGTGATAAATATTGCGAAATATTTATTTCGCACGAAAAATAAAATAATACGAGTGAACTAGCAAAGTACAAAAACACGCACCTATTATGGAACACCGTTTTCGTTTTCGTTTCAAATGTCCGTTCCGCGATAGGGTCATTGAATATGTAACAGGGATGCCAACTGTTGCATAAATCGGGCCAACGAAAAAATAACCGAGGTACAGTAGAGACCCTTTTATCTGAAAGTTTATTTTCGTAATATCCGGACGCCGAACCATTCTGTTATCTGAAAATTTCATTTTCACTTCGAATCTCATGTCAACGTCTCTGTTCGAGTAAACATTGTTTATTACAGCTGATCGTTACAGAAAGGTACATTTGTACGACTGAATTTTAATTAAAGAACAATGTTGAACGGGTAGAATTTTCACATGCCACTTCCATATGCTCCATTTATATTTTATTCTATCGTTCGCGCTACCGTTTCAAGTTCGGGCCAAAATCGAGCGGTGTTTCATAACGGGTACAAACGCCCTTACAGTTTCTCGAAAATCTTTTCTCGTAGATCGTTCCATCGCCGCCCACTGTCTCCAAACGCGTGAAACGATCGGCCGCGCGACAGAGGGACTATTTGATCTCCGGCATCCTAAATAATCCCGAGAAGACGCGCCGAACGAACAGGTTCATAGAGGCAAGAAGTCGTTACGGGGGTGGCGCTGAGCGTTCCATTGAAGCCTTCAGACCCCGCAGCGAGAACCAGCTCGCTCGAAGAAACCATATCCTCGAGGTTCGGGGATGCAGCAGCAGCAGCAGCAGCGTTCTCGAACTCAAGCATGCGGTTTTCGGCTGCCTAGAGAGGAGGCCAAGAGGGGGGAGGGGAGGCCATAGGGGCGCACGATTTCGCGGTCTCGTCGAGCAACCGAAATTTGTTTGTTTGCGACGAAAGGCACGCGGAGCATCTCGGCACGCCGATACCCCTCCCGCGGGGGTGCGGCGGGGAGGGGAGGGGGAAGGGAAAGTAATTACACGGCTAAAGGGTTCAATAGAGTTCTATAAATTCCGCGCGAAGCACGTCGAATTAAGTGCTGCTCGGGAGTTGCCGCGCGCGATCATCGGGAATCCTGGAATTGGCAGGCATTCGTTATCAAGCCATCCCCTTGGCCGTCCCCTGCCCCCTTCGCCCGCGGAACCGCCCCTCGTGCTCTCTCCGCGCAACAGAGAACGAGGGCCGGCGGGAACGGAGGGAGAGAGAACACGATGCTAATATGCAATCAATACATGCGGCGTTAGTTGCACCCAGGCCGGTTAAGGAAACCTTGCGTAACACAATGGTACACGATCGAACGTCACGCCGACGTGTTTACTATTTACAGGAAGGTACCATTGCGGGGGTGGAGCAACGGCGGCGCGCAACGGGGCCGACGTGACGGAGCTGCGTCGACGATATCGATGAACTTTTGATCGAAATCGGATACGTCGATGCGATTCTCTTTTTTGTCGCGTGAAGGCTGGAGTTTCGTCGAACAGGGGCGAAACGGAGAGAATTTGTGAACGCTTCTTAACCCTTTGCAGTCGGGGAGCTATTTTAATTCGAAGTCCAAGAGATGCTTTCTGATCTGCGGTATTTTTATTTTACACGATTCAGTGCAGTTTATGCATCTGAAATTGCGCCTATTGGCAAGTATAATAACTGCGATTTTAACAGTTTTTTTAAATACAACAAATCTGATACTGTTAGAATTGTTGAATGAAAAATGGTGTAATAATTTTTGGTGGCGCCTCAGACTCGCCGCTCGAGTGCAAAGAGTTAATCTTGAAAATTTATGTTAAATTTGAAATATTCCGACGAAATTGCGATTTGTTCGGCATTGTTGGATTTTTCGTGAGACACCGTGTATATCATTTCCCGTAGATTCTAACACGATGACTTCAAATCCGATAGCGAAATTTATCTACCGCGTCAGGCTTTGGAAAAAGATCGATACGAGCGAAACAACAGACGAAATCGTGACTTTTTTTCGTCGAAATTATTTTATAGCCCGCCGATTTTTCTTCGAAATCCTGGAACGGCCAGGTAAATGCGCCCGGATTCGAAATCAGCATTTCAATGTCTATGGAAAATGATATATAACGTGTCGTTACAAAAATCCATCTGTACATGGTGTTCGATAAATCATCATTTTAGCCGGTTCACGCCAAATAAATAAATAAATCAATTTGGAATATTTCAAGTTAATCGTAAATTTTGAAGTTTAAAAATTCTCCATGCTACGCTCTCTCTATCTTTCCCATAATTCTGCAACATTTCAACATCGACATTTTGACTGAAACGAAATTGTTTGTGAAATTATTTGAAATTTAATTTCTATGCTAATCCATAAAAACTTCTCAATTCTATTAAGACTCTCAAGTGTGGCAAGAATATTGAAATAGTAATCGATGTCATACAACTTTGCTTTCCAAGTTTCATTTAACACTAAACCTACCGCGGTCGAAGTGACCGCTTTCTTATTTTGCAATTCTGCGAAAAGACTGTTCCGGGACTCTTTCGTGGAAAACGCTTAAATAAATTATATTATTGGAGCAAGTTTTATAATAAAAACTTTACAAACTCTAAATAAATTCGGTGTTCTCACTTTTGTGAAGCAGTACATGCCAGTTAGTATTACTGCTTGGTAGGTTTAGTGTTAATCGATTAAAATACTTTAATTCTACGAAATATTTTAAAACGTTTTCGGCGCGGCCGTCGATGCGCCAACGCGAAAAAAGATTGTGGCGGCTACCTCCAGACCCGCCAGCAGAGGGCTCCTCTTCCCGCTAGTAACCGATCCGCCTCGATACTACCCCCACGTCTAAAGCAAGGGCCCGCTAGGATAGCCTTACCGATGAGTCCTCTAGCGGGCCCCGGACGAAACGTCTCCCCTCTCCTTTCCTCGACAACCTAGCACGACACTTCAACCGCCACCAAAAGATCATCGGTCTGTCACATTTCTATCAAAAGTTCTCCGATTTTTACACAAATTCGTCACTACGGCCCGCTGTGCGGGGACGGAGGGGATGGATGCCAGCCCGAAATGAGACGAGCCCCGTCCTCCACCCTCCGGCTGTCGGTCTGCCCGAGCAAAAGCGAAATCGATTCCTTGTCCAGCGGCCGGGAATGGGAAAAGGTATATTCCGACTAGTCACTCGCTGATAGATCCACTTTTGTCAATGGCTCGGCGGAATATCGAAAAACGGGAGGGGTGTGAGGGGGGAAGAGGGTGCTGGAGGTGGGATCGAACGCGCGACGAAAGAATGCCGCGCTCGCATGGCTATCGTCGGAAATATACCGCTATCGTATTCTGCCGCTTGATCGTTCGTGAATCTGTGTACCATTCGCGGAACGCGACGGTTTCGTCGCACGGGGAACGGTTGTCGGGTGTTACGGGCTTTTTGCTGCACGGCAGGGTTGCGACTTTTCATTTTGCAACCGGTTGAACAGCGATTTAGCTTCTCGGCGATCTGCTTCTGGATAATTCCCCCGAGCTTGTGAATGAATTTTATATGTTCGTTCGCGGGGCAGGTTTCTTTTTTTAAATTCAGCTCGTACAAGAATGAATGGAAAACTGGCCTGTTTGAAAATATTTTGCATATCGACGAAAATGGAAATACAGTAATGTCTCCCTAACTGACGCTTAGATTGTCCACAAGAATGGTCAATTCGGGAAGAGGAGATACAATTATTATTTATATTATTATACGATTATAACTTTGCGGCTCGTTTTTATAGTTACGAATTCTCAATAACCATAAAAAACGAGCCACAAGGCTCGAACAATCGTATCTCCTCTTTCCAAATTGTCCATTTCTGTGGACAATCTGAGCGTCAATTAGAGAGACATTACTGTATTATGAACGAATATTTTCATTATTTTAATTCAAGCTCCGAAATAGCACATTGGACTTTCCCATCTGAAAGTTTTGTCCTGCTGCGTCGATTTCAATTTTTTTTCCATCCACGATTATCATAAAATCATTTATCCATTACATTCGTGGAGGCTACATTAAGGGATCTGTCATTTTTTATTTTTTCGGAGATGATCATAGTGAATGAAACATCCTGCACGTGCATCGACCGCTGCGTCAATTTGCAGACTCGAATCTTCATGATTATTACGAACTGTCAGAATGCTGTTCCGGCTGTATTTCTGTTGCATAACATTTTTCGCGACATCACATCAGCAGATTTTTCATGAAAACTAGATCGATGCTGTTACGTTAAATGATTCGTACAGAATCAGGACAAATAAAACATTCTGCACGAGTATCGACTGCTTCGTCGATGCACAGGCTCCAACAATATCCATGAATACCGATAGAAAACCGGGAGTAGCCAATGTAGTAGCTGGGAAGAACAATCGAACCTTACCGAGCAGACAATTTCTGTAGCAGATTACAGCGGGCACCCTGCATACTAATCCCGATCATTCCCAGAGCGCGCGGTTCGATCGGTCGCATGCGGTTAACGACGAGGCAAGCCGAAAGCGAACCGTTGTCGCAACAACGGCCGTAAAAAGAGGAATATCGACTCGCTCGCTTCCGTTTTCGGTTCGCCGTTTCGCGTCATCGAGGCTTCCGTTCGCTCGTCATGAAGAGAACGCACGCATAATCGCCGCCCATAAACGGGGCGCTCGAACGAACAAAACAGAACGCGGTGGGTGCAACGAACAGAAACACGACCGTCGCAAATCGATCGTCGCAGAGACACGGAAAATCGGATCACGTGACCAAGAAAAGAAGGCTCTATGGTTTGATTTTCTCATTCACAGACGTTTCTCTTTTTTATTTCTTTTTTTTTGTTTTTTTTTGTTGTATCCAAGCAACAATCGTTTATTTCAGAGACACAGAAATTCGATGTTACATCATTAAAATGTCGTTCTATTTACAAAACGATGTTTCTTTTAATTCGTGTAGGTGTCTGTCCGTCTGTGTGTGTGTGTTTTGTGGTGTGCGTATGTGATGATGATGCGTGGACGTGTGGACGTGTTAAGTATTTGCGTGTGAAAGCGTCGATTCATAACAACTTGTATCGTGGTTTTCCATTCGTGTCAGCCATTCTCAAACTTTCTGATCGCACTCTTTCCGTTGTCGTATTCCGTTCGCTGTTCGCGGACGCGATGATGTCTTTCTATTTTCTTTTTCTTTTTCTTTTCTTTTCTATTCTATCCTACTCTTCCTTTTTTTTCTTTTTGCTCGCAGATCGCGGCCGGGCGAATCGCGATCGCAGAACGGGGACACGATGTGTAACACGGTTCGAGACATAATAATGTATCACAGTGGATCGTGAACAATCGATTGTATTATTATTATTATTATTATTATTATTATTATTACTATTATTACTATTATTATTATTATCATCATTATTATTATTATGGTAAATAACATCTTCTACGATAGGCAGTTAGTTCCTCAGATAGGCGTAGTAACGTGTTAGAAAAATGTATAAATTCTCTTCTTCCGATTAAATCGTATACACAAGTAGAAAAAACGCGTATGGCATACACTATGCTACGTTGTTACAGAACACGGCCTCTCGAGATTGTCGCGATCGATTGACTAAAAACCGTCCCTTCGATCGAGCCGTTCATTTTGCTTTGTCAGACGGGAATCGCTGCGTTCGCGCGAGCGCTCTTACGACGAAAACGACGTCCGATCAAGCCGGCCTGTTTGCGTTTTGGATGAGTTGCGCTGATATCGAATCCGTGCCTAATTGGCGATCGTCGCGTGTCGACGTTTAACTTCGGGAGAGGTTCACGTGACCAGAAGATACTGGAAATACGGAGCATCGTGGACCACGTGTGGCTAAGCGCGATCTCGTTCGACCATTAACTGCGGGCACGGAATCCGACGGACATAATGTGCGATACGTGTTATATGTTATTTAATTTCCATACGAACATCGACGATAGAACTACCGAAACTGGTCGAAACGACTGTTTTTTTTCGTTTTCTACAACAATTCTTGATACTAGAAAGACTTTTTAGATTAAAAATTTTTAGATGAACTTCTTCATTAAATTATTGGGTCGTTCGGAAAGTTGTTTCGTTTCTCAAAAAAGATTTCGTTTTGTAAGCTCGTTAACGAAGCATGTGATACAGCATTTTACGAATCAACGACGGGGCTTCTACGAGTTTTTTTTTTATTTGAAACATTAAAAAAATGTCCTTTATTTTCTCGTGAAAGAGCGAAATAACTTTCCGAACGGACCCAATATAATAGCAATCGTATAAAGTTTAAATAAATCCAATCCTGTCATTGTTGTAAACCAATATATGCATATTAGCTGCATTTAGGGCTCGATAGTGCTAGCGTTAATATTGTATTAATTTTATAAACAATATATTCTTGTGAGAATCTGACGGACTCCGTGCCATTATTGTCGTCATTTTGCAAGCCTTCGGTTGAGCGTTTGAATAATAAATATTATCTAAACTATTACTATATTCTACATTGATCTGTTATCAATCGAGAGACAGCGAGAAAGAGAGAGACGGAGAGAGACAGAGAGGAAGAAGAGAAAGAGAGAAAGAGAGAAGAAGAGAAAGAGAGAAAGAGAGAAGAAGAGAAAAAGGGAAAGAAAGAAAATAAGAGAAGGAGAGATGAAGAGAAAGGGAGAAGGAGAAAAAGAAAGGGAGAAGAAGAGAAAGAGAGAAGGAGAAAAAGAAAAAGAAAGCGAGGAGAAGAGAAAGAGAGGGAGGGAGAGCAAAAGAATTCCTAAAGAACCGTAACGTCTCAGTTTCCATGAAAGCACAGCGAACGCCCAGCTATCGTGCACGAAATCAAAGTGTTCCGTATCAGGGCAACTCACCCCGCTGCCAAAAAGAAGCCACCGCAGAAGTCCCCTGAAATCGCAGGACGCTCCAGCAAGATTCGCGATAAGGTGACTCCGTGCATCCCGGACACTTCACGACGATCGAACGTCGACTCGACGAGACGAGACGAACGGTGATGATATACCGTCGCAGATAAAGGGGGGTCGGTCGTGGGTTATTCGAAGGTCAACCGGCGGTCATCCAGCGACAGGATCGTTCCCGAATACTCGTAGCAACGCGCGCGACGGTACAGAAACAAACAAAAAAAAAAACAAAAAATAATCGAAAACAACGAAACGGTAGAAAGATAAAAATAAAGAGGAAGCAGCTGGCGCGAGGATTCGTGTGAGTATGGCTGTTACAACATCGAGACTTGCCGTGGTTCCATTAGTTACATTGTATGGGCCTGAACTTACCCAGATTCGCGTAAATCGAGTCTGAGGTGGTCGAGGCTGCCGGCTGCCAGGACGACGACGACGACGAGGACGATGACGAAGAGGAGACGGACGACGGGGACGACGATTTCGTGGACTTTTCGCTTCGAGACGGAAGCTGCTTGGTCTCGACCCGCGGTGGCGGCGGTCGGACCGGTTTGCTGGATGGATCCAGCCGGGGCCAATCCTCCAGGGACTGGTTCCGCGGCGGTGGCGGTGGTTTGCCTGGTCTCACTGTAATCACCCAGAAATATCGCGGACCTGTTAGGGATTTTCACGTTTTAACACGTGGCACCCAGGGAATTTAACCTAGACCCTCTAAAACGAACGGTTTCTCTTCAAGCATCCAGCTAACTCGTTTACAGTTTCGACGTGCCGGGTCAAGATAATGTTAAAATCGCAAAATCTATTTCGAGACAGCTGCTAGAATGCTTTCAGTTACCGCCTAATGTGTGCACAGTTTTGCTACAATCCCTGAAATGTTCGCGGGAAAATGCAGCTGACAACAAAGTAGACCGAAGACTGCACGCTTTAAATATTTAACACACGATCGAGACGAACATCTTTTATGGACAGCAAAATCGAGGCAATAATAGTACACTGGAATGTTTGAAAATAGAGTAAGAAGTTTAAACTTCTTCTAAAACCTTGATTAATGATGTGAACATTTTTCTTCCATATTTTAATTCAACCCATAAAACGATGCTCTGAAAACTGTCCACTTCAAACATCTAGTACATCGTCGAGATAAATGAAATATCCTGCATGAACAGCAGTTATTGGAGCAATAATAGAGCAATAATTAGAGCACTGTAATGTTTAAAAATAGTCTAAGAAGTCAACACTTCCTTCTAAAACCTTGATTAATGACGTGAGCATTTTTCTTCCACAGTTTAGTTCAACCCCTACAAGGATACCCTAAATACAGTAAATTCTCCTTAATTGACTCTCGGATTGTACACAAAAATGGACAATTTGGAAAGAGAAGATACAATTACAGTTACCGATTGCCAATGACTACAAAAACGAGCCGCGAGGCTCGTATAATCGTATCTCCTCTTCTCAAATTATCCATTTTTGTTCACAATCTAAGCGTGAATTAGTGACAATTTCCTGTCCACTTCGAACATTTCGAGCATCATTAATATCAATAAAACGCTCTTGTCAAGGAACGAACCAACAATTGCACATCGTGGTACTCTATACTAGTACAAAAACTCAGGTTTCCTTCTAGAGCCTACATAATCAAATATTTATCCTCGGAAAGGGCCCGTTCGCCGATGAGCATCAAGAAGAATAATTGCACGAAACCGAACGAGTGCCAGAGTCCTCGGACAATATAAAGACCGACGTGGATCTAGGTAATCCAAGACTCGAGGGAATCGCGAGTTATGAAGCCCTGGAATCCAGGCGACCATTCTTCCCCGAGATCTGCATGAATAGAGAGCTCCAGGTATCAATATATTATCGAGAAGTATACTCACCGGCCGCGTGAGCTCCAGGGGACAACGGGGACCGGGTAGCTCTCGCATCGTTTCTAGGTCCGCAGGAATCAGGTTGATCTTCGCTTATCCTGCTGATCCGGTCGTTGCCCACCACCTCGACAGCGGCGCCGTCGAGTTCCAGAGGATGGATGATCTCCAGCCTTGGTTTCGGTTGCGGCGTCGACGGGATCTCGTCGGTTCTGCCGGACCCGTGGCCGCTGACCATGTCCACGTCCTTCCTCGAGCCCATCCTGAGGAACCTCTTCAAGGAGAAGCGCGATCTGCCACGTTTCTTCTCCTCCCTGACTTCTTGGCCGTTCGTCAGGCTGTCCTGGGACAGAGAGATCGTTCTCCTGGACGCGGGGTCCGAAGTTTGAGCGCTGGTAGGGTCCGGTAGCTCGGAGACCGCTTTCCGGAACTTGGGGCTGCAGGAGGAGGCTCTCTCCCTCTTCTCTTTCTCCCTAACCACCGGTGAGTCCGACTTGAACGTCGCGATAGGGTTTCTAGCGAACAATGTCGCACTCGGCGTTAATTCCTCCGCAGGCTCCGCTGCCGGAGGCTTGGGCGCCATTCTTCGCTTGTTAGGCGAGCGAACGGACTCCGCAGCCGGAGCCTGCGAGTCCAAGGCCTCCTCTTCTACGTCCAGGTCCTCGGGATCTCCACCTTCTACCGCCTGATCTCTAGGAGAGTTCGTCGGAGACGGATTTATCTTGCTTCCCGAAGACACTTTCGGCGAGCCCTGGCTCGGCTTGGAAGACTCGATGTCCTGGCTGAGTGGAGGGTGCTGTAGCCTGCTAGACTGAGCGGCCTTGGTCTCAGAATCTCGTGGAAGATTGTCGAATACTCCGCGAGTCTGGTCCGCCAGTTCCTCGAGCTTGTCTTTGCTGGATTGTCGGGGATTGTTTGTCTGGTCCTGCGCAGGTCGACCGCTCGCACCTGAGAATTAGTCGCGACCGTGAACGCGGTGTAATTGGATGGCGCTATGGGGCGGTTGCCCGGCTCGTTTCCGTTAATTACAGAGCCAGATTAACGCCGCCGAGCGATCGTCTTATGAGTAATCATGGTATCCCGTTGCGGCGTCGGGATCATTGGATCGGGATTGATATTATCGGGGAATTAAACGGTTTCCGAGTCTTTGCCCGACACTGGCTGATCAGTTTAGACGCTCCGTGCGGTACTCTAAATTGACGCAGGTGTCATACCGAACTCCGGGATTTCGCAAAACGAAACGCGGGTCGCCGTTCGGCACGGTAACGAACAACTGCGAGCATGAGGGTAATAAGGAAACTCGGAAGACTGCGCCGAAACCCCGGAGACATTAAGACGAGAATTAGCTTCGAGGACGTCGTGTCGTTCTGTCGGATTCTTAATCATGCTTGGTAAGTTTGTTAGGCTAATGACGTTTTAACAGAAAATTGTTCTTAGCGACGAATCTGCGACGCCGAATCGCCTCTGGGCGTTGTCGGCGCTCGAAGTAGCTCGAATAAATGTGCAGCGAAGGGATTGGGAACGTTCGTTTGTTTATTTAACGGGAAACTTTCCACGAGCTCGGTGATCGTTAAATAAAAATTTTGGACCGAGCAGTTTTGTTCTTTTTCAACGAGTTACAAGTTGTTTTTAAAAATAGAATAGAATTGGATATTGGCTGGAAAATGCTGGTAACTTGTTTGTTAAAAGGAGATTTTCAGCGTAAGGTATTGTTTACTAACGATTCTGTTAATTGTGTTAATCGTGTAAGGTGACAGGATAAGTTAGAATTCGTGAAACCGTACGGTGGCGCCATCAGGTGCAGAAACGCGTAAGTTTGCTCGTGAAAGAATGCTTTCCGCAAAATATTAATTTCTTCGACAATACTTGGATCAATCGATGCACAAATTAGCTGAAAAAAATCTCCATGAATCCAATTATCGACTGCAAATACAATATTTCCATTTGCTGCGATCGAACGCTTGCATTCAAGCCGCAAAGATGGCAGAGGTATCCCGCGAGACATTAATCAGAATAATTTCTTTGATTGATTGTACATTTTTATACACGTGTCCATCGTCATAAATTAGTTTATAAAAATCAATGGAGAAACTTAATTTCACCGGCCGACAGGTTCTTCCTACCAATCAATAAAATAGCAACATCGACAATTCATAATTAACTTAATATTCTTCTAATATTTGAGCTACTCAGCCCACGGATGCCTTCTCCTATTTCATCCCAAAATGATCTTCTCTACCTTAAACGGAGAAATAACCGCACCTGTGCTCTGACTGGTTCTGGATGTCGCCGCGTGGCTCTTCTTCAAGTTACCCTCTGCCACAACCGTATTCTTGGCCCCGAAATTAGCCGGTTTCTGTGGCACAACGGGCTTGACTTTCAGCTCCGCGTTCACCGCGCCATGAAGAAAGGAGGGCCTGGGTTCGGTGGTGATGATCGGCTTGCCAGTCTCTCCCTGAAGAAGCGGCCTAGCCTCGATACTCGGCGGCGGGCTCCTCGGAAGCGCAGGGGGTTCTGTCATTTCCTCCTCATCGGCCCTGCCATCCGGTTCCCCAGCCATCTCGCGGCTCTCCTCGCAGCTGAATCTTTTTTCAGAGACCTCGGCCTCCATCTTGCGCAGCTCAGCCAGCGAGGAGTCCTCGTTACCATGCGACACCGTGATCTTGTTCGTCTCCTTGCCCTGGATCATGGGCCTGTCGCTCTCCGCAGCCTCCTCGGTGTCGTTTTTCGTGAACGGCGTCAACGTTAACTCGATACCCCTGTCCGACCCTTTGCTCTTTGATCTGCAAATCTCCGGTGACCTTCTCGCCGCTTTAGCACCCTCGTAGTCGATCTTGCCGCCGTTCTGAGAAGCCTGGGACGCGCACTTCGGCTTCTCGTTATCCGGCTTCTTGGTCGCAGGACTCCGAGCAACGTTCCCGAATTTCTTGTCCGGTTTACCAGCATCCAAGATCCGTTCGACTTCGGATGCCTTGTCCTTGCCGTCCTCGCTCTCTGTAGACTCTCCACGCTGCATCGCCGAAATTAGGTTGTTCGTGATCAAAGGAAGGTCCACGATCTTCTCCATGCCCGAGGAGTACTTCCCCTCCTTCCTATCATCCTTCTTCGCTTCGATTTCCGGCTTCTTCGGCAGCTTCAGCGTCGTCTGTGGAAGATCCGAGAAGGTTCGAGTGATGCAAGTTAGACCGTGACTTTGGTAAATGGGGAAATAGATTGTTGGACTGCTCGTGCAACTGGGAAGACTGTGTATTCGATTCCAGAAACTTCATTCAACGAGGAAATATGAATCTTTGCCACGAATTTATTGGATTATCAATGATGTGAGAAAGTGCTCTATTTTTGACCTGCAACTTCATTGATAAATGCAGTACTTTCTGCTTACGATAAGCTCGCCAATTCTTTGCTAAAAATTACTTCGGAGAAGAGGGAACAATCTATTTATATTACTAAGGATTTCCAAGTGTAATCCTAAAGAGGAAATTCTATTAATCCTAACATGCTTGAGGGAGGGTTCAAAAATGTTCACAGAACTTCAAACATGTATTTTTGTTCCAACAATGTCCTTTCATTAATTTTTTATATTTTACTTTTGCAGCTCCCCAAACGTATTATTTAACAGTGTCGTATAAACAAAGAGATCTGAATCAGAAAAGAATAATATTTACAGCACTTTGTCTTGCGTGGACACGAAATGATCCTCCCTCCTCCCTCCTTAAACTTTAAATCTTCGAATACATTAACTATCTCAGATCTAATAAAACTGTGTCTATAAATTCGAAGCTGCTAGCAGTTCCAGATCGTGGACAGTGAAACATCGCGAATGAAAATTGAGGGAATGCGGCAGAGAAATGCTCACCTCCAATTTATCACCGTTCTCGGCAATCTTGTGCTTGGCGGGGCTCGAGGATCCATTGACGAATCCATTGATCTTCCTATCAGCGGGCCTCCTCGCAGTGGGCAAGGTCTCGTCGCCGCCGAACGGCGTCACAGAGACCAGCAAGGTGGTCTTCTTGCCCTCCGAGTCCTTCTGTATCCTCCCGAGCATCAGCGACGCGAAGGATCTCGTCGCGGACGAGGATTTCGGCGTCTCGTTCGCCGTCACGACCGCTGTCAAGTTAGCGGTGATCGTGTTGAAGTTGGTGTTGGCTCGTGTCAAGTTTCCCAGGGCGCGCTCCTCCTCGCTGTCTGGCAGCGCGTCGTCCTCCGTGCCGAACGACTCGGCGAAGTCCTGCTCGTCGTCCTCCTCGTCGTCCGAGAAGACATCGTCGCCGCCATAACCGATTATCTCCGTTAGACATTCCGGGAACGCGACTGCCTTTTTCTTCTGGTCCTTCTGGCCGATCACCTTGCTTCGCAGGATACCCTGGGAACAACGAAGCAACGTGAACAGCTATTCTTTTCGACGGCGTCTAGGCTGCTCGGTCAAAAATGGTCGGAGCTTTTCTCTCGCTTAACCCTTTCACAGGCAGTGGAAAGTAAGCTTCCCGCCCACTTTCAGTGCGCATATGGACACCAAATATTCGTTGAAATGTGATAGGTCCCATCACCCCTAATGTTGAGGGGTGAGAAATGAAAAATAACAGGAAAGCGAATAACAGCTGCATTGCTATAAAATTATGGTAAGCGAATGTTCCAATCTTTTCGAAAATTCATATCACGCTCATAAAAGGGTTAAAGTGATCCTCGAATGTCACGGTAATTTTAGCTTGTATCGAGAGACGTTTCTGAGGAAGCAAAGCAAGTTAATTGCTTATTTCAACGATCGTGCAATCGCAATGCATTTTTAACAAACAGCACGTAGCACAAGTTGGATTGTCAAGGTATTATCTTTCGCTAAAATGATCTAGAAAATTTTGATCTTCCTTTAGATGTCCGGTACCCTTCCATAAGTCCGTCAATGTAGGCGATCATGCTGTGAAAGTATTTCTAGGCCAAGGATCTTGTCGAATAAACAGTAGACATTCCAAGCCATGAATGAAACTGATCAACAACCGATGTCCGAAAGTGCCCCCGGCGAAAAGAAAGACTGTCACTGTGATGAAGCGTGCGGCGAGGCCAGTTATGATCACATTAGTCCCGGGGAACGCAGAAACGAGAGACTCATCCGAGTTTATCAGCCGGCCGACAGCACCGAATTAAGATGCAATCGTCAGTGAAATGAAGTCGGAGCTCGTCAGACAGCTCTTAACCGAAGACACGGTCTGATTCTAGCCAACCGCGTCCGTGAAACGGGGTTTATGTAAATGTCGAATCTAGACGGAATGTGTCGTCTTGCCAGGTTCATCGATCAATCTCTCCGTTCATTTTCGTCGTGGCCTTCGGTCGAACGCCGAAGCACACCGATTCTACAACGAACTTTCCTTGGGAAGACCGAGGCTTTTAACGATCTGTCTATCAGGCGAAAATTAAAGGAGCATATCGTGCGAGCTATGCCCTGCGTGGTGGTGTTAGTAATTTCTTCCGGAAATGCACGGAGGTCGGAATTGAAATCGGCGACTTTTAGGGCCTCGTGGCACATTTTTACAGAAACTCGGGGCAGTCGACATAAAAAGACAACGCCCAGCATGCTGGTTTACATTAACATGAGTTCATAATAATGCTAGAACAAGAATGATGACTTAACCTTTTTATTTCTGATTTTTTGCCAGCATTCGAAGGCAATTCGGAGGCCTCGTGCCACGATTCCAAGGCAATTCGGAGGCCACATGTCACGATTCGACAGTCACGTACCTAGTATAGTGAATTCGCCCTAATTGACGCACCCATTCACACCGAAACAGACCATTTTTAGCAAGAAATTACACAGGCGTGGGACTAGCACAGCGAAATTCGCAGCAACCCGAAATTTGGCATTTCCTGGAGAAATGACTGTGCTTCCCATCGAATTTCCAGATTCGCTCGCGTTCCGGCACCCCGACTGGGAATTAAATATCGCCGGGCAACCGACGACGACTTAACCAACGCGTAGCCGCTAACTATCCCCTGGTAATCCGTCTGATAACTCGGAAATCCGAAGAAATTCCAGATCTGTTTAAAAGGGGGGCCGAGGCGCGGCGTCGACCGCCGCCGACAGCCTTATCGTCCGCTGCCAGGAAATGAAAGTTCAGTCCCGAAGTTAAATACGGGCGGGGGTTAGCAGAGGCCACGGAAAGTCTATTTTTCCCCCCTGAAACTTTCGGGGTGGTCAGCTGGCGTTAATGAAACCGTTGAATTATTCACTCGGTATTCCGCTCGCTTCGAATTTTCGTCGCGCAGCGGACGGGATACAAGCAGCCCATCGAATTACCTCTCTATACGGTCGCGGATCTTCGAGGACGCCGAGTGCTCTGAAAGTACGCGTTTCACTGCCAAGATTAAAAATTGGTGGTCTCTATCCCGCGTAGAAAATCATTTCATTACTGTGTTCTTCAATGTATTGGATTTTTCTGAAAGACGAAGAAAGGGGCGGACTCGTCTTTAAACGAGTATAGTGTTCTTTATGGGATAAATTGTTACTTGAGAATTAGTAGAATAAAGCAAAGGGTGAGCATAAATATGTATGATACTTGATAAAGTGTAAATTAGGGTGGTTAAATTAATCTTTTGCAGAAACATGAAGCTTTCGTGTCTTACAAAAAGAATAAATAAATTCTAAATTAGCTCGAAATTGTCTGAACAATTAATTCGGTCAGTAAACAGTATAAATTTATTAACAATAATACTCCTCGTTTCTCACGATTAGGATAATGCTATATCACTATAATTTTGATCCTCTCATATACATGTACATCTTTAAGATTAATTTTATTTTCTCATCACAATTTATCCCCATGTCATTGTTAATGCCTCGTAACTAAGAAATTTAGTCGATTCAGTTTCTAGTTTTTAGTTTTGTTCAATCCTTAAACGATCTGTTCGAAGGGGCCATCATTTCGAAAAATAAAGGATGAAATAGTACAAGCAGAAAGTTCCGCAGAAATTCTCGAAAACTCCATTGAAACTTGCGATATCCCTATCTGAAACTTTTTGCACGAACTTCCAACAAAGTCTCCTTTAAAAATGAGGGACGGAAATACAGCCGGTAGAAGAAAAGTCCCGGTGAAATTCGCTAAAACTCCATATCGAAGCCCGAGGTTCCCTATGAAAATTCTCTCGGCCAACGTCATCGGAGAAGGGTGTATAAAATGCAAGAGAAAAGAAAAAAATGGTTGGATCGCACGAGAGGTTGACCGGCGGGGAGGAATTCGTGGCTAGGCGCTGACACGTTGGCCACCGCGGCGATAAAATCGCTCTCTCGTCACTCCGTTATCGTTCGAATTTCATAACAGCAGTCGGCGAACGCGACACGGCTACGTGTCGCCGAAACGACACAGCGAATTCTATCCGCTGGAACCGACGACTCGACAAAAGCGCGGCAACTTTCCGCCTTGAAGTGTCGCTCAGCCGGACGACTCCCTTTCCCTCGGCACTCCCTCTTCCGAACGAGACCACTTTTCCGCGGACGCGTTTTATAGCGGGGATCCTTTCGCCGGATGTTATCGACATACTTGGATATCCTCCTCGCCGTGAAACCTCGCTACTTCCCATATTCTGTCGCCGAAATATCTCGGCGATTAGTCTCGGCGAAAGCGCCGGGCCGGTCGATAAGTCCCTCGCAACTTCTGCTTCAGGTGAAACGTTTACGTTTACGCGGATCGGTGTACGTTTCGGTGGGACGTTGTCGAATATGCGTGCAGAGTTCAGGACGATTTTGAACGGGTCGAATCTTACGCTGTTATTCTATTTATTCTATTTAACCCTAGAAAGATAACCATATGACAACGTACGTAAAAGATAACCATACGCTTCAGAGGCGCATGCTTTTCTAAGGCGTCAATTTTATACTAACAATGGATATTTATTTAAGTTAATCTAGTCATTTTAAAGGTTTGGCATTATTGTAAAAATAAAATGCATTTATATTATATTTTTTTATATTTTAAGTAATTTTAAACTTAAATCACTAGACCTCTATGAAAAATNAGAATAAATAAATTCTAAATTAGCTCGAAATTGTCTGAACAATTAATTCGGTCAGTAAACAGTATAAATTTATTAACAATAATACTCCTCGTTTCTCACGATTAGGATAATGCTATATCACTATAATTTTGATCCTCTCATATACATGTACATCTTTAAGATTAATTTTATTTTCTCATCACAATTTATCCCCATGTCATTGTTAATGCCTCGTAACTAAGAAATTTAGTCGATTCAGTTTCTAGTTTTTAGTTTTGTTCAATCCTTAAACGATCTGTTCGAAGGGGCCATCATTTCGAAAAATAAAGGATGAAATAGTACAAGCAGAAAGTTCCGCAGAAATTCTCGAAAACTCCATTGAAACTTGCGATATCCCTATCTGAAACTTTTTGCACGAACTTCCAACAAAGTCTCCTTTAAAAATGAGGGACGGAAATACAGCCGGTAGAAGAAAAGTCCCGGTGAAATTCGCTAAAACTCCATATCGAAGCCCGAGGTTCCCTATGAAAATTCTCTCGGCCAACGTCATCGGAGAAGGGTGTATAAAATGCAAGAGAAAAGAAAAAAATGGTTGGATCGCACGAGAGGTTGACCGGCGGGGAGGAATTCGTGGCTAGGCGCTGACACGTTGGCCACCGCGGCGATAAAATCGCTCTCTCGTCACTCCGTTATCGTTCGAATTTCATAACAGCAGTCGGCGAACGCGACACGGCTACGTGTCGCCGAAACGACACAGCGAATTCTATCCGCTGGAACCGACGACTCGACAAAAGCGCGGCAACTTTCCGCCTTGAAGTGTCGCTCAGCCGGACGACTCCCTTTCCCTCGGCACTCCCTCTTCCGAACGAGACCACTTTTCCGCGGACGCGTTTTATAGCGGGGATCCTTTCGCCGGATGTTATCGACATACTTGGATATCCTCCTCGCCGTGAAACCTCGCTACTTCCCATATTCTGTCGCCGAAATATCTCGGCGATTAGTCTCGGCGAAAGCGCCGGGCCGGTCGATAAGTCCCTCGCAACTTCTGCTTCAGGTGAAACGTTTACGTTTACGCGGATCGGTGTACGTTTCGGTGGGACGTTGTCGAATATGCGTGCAGAGTTCAGGACGATTTTGAACGGGTCGAATCTTACGCTGTTATTCTATTTATTCTATTTAACCCTAGAAAGATAACCATATGACAACGTACGTAAAAGATAACCATACGCTTCAGAGGCGCATGCTTTTCTAAGGCGTCAATTTTATACTAACAATGGATATTTATTTAAGTTAATCTAGTCATTTTAAAGGTTTGGCATTATTGTAAAAATAAAATGCATTTATATTATATTTTTTTATATTTTAAGTAATTTTAAACTTAAATCACTAGACCTCTATGAAAAATTAACAAAAATCAACAGTCTTCGCAGGCGCCTCTGCGACGTAGGTTATCTTTCTCGGGTTAAAGCGTATTTAAAGCATCGTTTGAAATTGAGAAATTCTTGAAGCTGTCGCTTCGATCTCTCTCAGCCAAACACTTTTATAAAATATATTATAGAATATAATTTTTATATTTTATTTAATTTAATATAATTTTTTATTATTAATATATATATATATATATTATATAATATAAAAGTATATAAAAATATATATAAAATATATTTCATAAAACTGAAAAATACTCCTTTATTTTCAGTGCTCAAATCTATTTTGTTTTTCAATTTTGTCTTTTGGTTGCAGTTATTTAATTGCGCAAGGGAGTGTACGACGATCATTAATAATTATCGAAGAAGCCTTTGAAGATATATTCAAGCAGAAGGAGCAATTGTTGAACGCTTAATGTAGATTTTATCGCACAGTTTTGCGATTAATACGTTCGTTAAACTGGTAAAATCAATCAAATATAGGGACACGGATAATTGTCTCCGCACCATGTCAAGTGAAATAAAATTTATCATACTACATCAGAGGTTCAACTATACGTTCCAAAGAAAGTGCAGAAATTTTCCAAGTGCCCAAAAATCGCACTCAATGAATAAAAACTCCCGTCAAAGCCGCTCGAAAAATGCCATTCGGAAAATGACCAACCCATGAGCATGAATCAATTTCCCATGGAAACGAGTGCCCGCAGACGCGCTCTAATCGCACGGAAAAATATTAGACACTCGTAAGGTTCCCTAAACGAGGCAAACCGTAGCTTTCGTTGATCCAGTTTGCACGGGGGCTATCTGCTCGGCCCGCCCACGTAATACGAAACGGTCGCGCCGGACGGGCAAACGAGCTGCGAATAAAGAGGCATCGTCCTCTCGGTTCCGCTCTCGGGATTCCTGGTGCGTGTGTTTCTCGAAACGCTTAAAAATATTTGCCGAGCGTGGGCGCCGCCGACGCGGCGCTCCCGTCGCGAAGGGCTCGCCCACGTGCGGCGCTATACCCTCCTCGGCTGACGCCCACCCTTCTTAAAACCGCGGACCCGGCCACGCGTCAGACGATTAAGCGTTCACCCTTGTCGCCGGCTGACGTGGACGCATGCATCATGTAAATTTAGAATCCTCGACAATGAAACCGTCTCGCCGCGATTCTGCTTCGTCGCTCTCAATGAAATATTCACGGTGACGCACTGCCAGACACGCAGATGCGGTCTGCCTAATCATAAGGCAGTTTCGGATCTTCCTTTTGGGCGACTCATCCTTCGCGCAGCCCGACTGGGACGGGATTAACATCTGCGATGCTCTGGTTATGCTGCGATACCGGTGGTTATACAGGGTGTTCCATAATTATGTTAACGCTTGGAAATGGGGGATTCCTGAGGTCATTTGAAGTAACTTTTCCCTTAGCGAAAATATTCTACGAGGCTTTGTTTACGAGTTATTAACGAAAAACGCTGACCAATGAGAGGCGAGATCGGTTGGCGCGAGGCGGCCGAGCCAATGAGCGGAACTGAGCTTCGTGGGCTCGTTGGTTGGGCCGCCTAGCGCTAGCCGAGCTCGCCTCTCATTGGTCAGTATTTTTTTGTTAATAACTGGTAAACGAAGCCGCAGATCGCATTTTCGCTAAGGAAAAAGTTACTTCAAATGATCTCAGGGATCACTTCCTTCCGGATGTTAACATAATTATGGAAAACGTTATGATTTCTCGTTTCTCGAAATGGATGATCGTCGCATGAAATTGAATCTCTAGTGCGTGAAATTTTTAACTCGTTTGATCAGCGAAGCGGAGATTAACGGAGACATAATTCGAGTAAATTTCAATGATATCAAATTTGTCTTAAAATGTTATTATCGTTTACTAAAATGGCGCGAAGACTCCCGGTACGATGAATGCATTACACGTGACTGTATAACAATAAATTACGCGTAATAAGAAATTCGAGTAGGTCAGACGGGCGAACCATGCAAAACTACTGTGAATGAGACTATTATAAAAACTGTGAAAACTATTATGTGAAAACTATTATGAAAAACTCAAACCATAGTTCGCATCCTTATACACAAAACTTTCGAATAACTTCGAAGACACTTACCCCAAACATTTCTACACAATTCTAAGTTAATTAGATAAGTTAATAAGATAAGAAATACGACAAAAATATCTTTTCTCTCTTAACAATCGCGGTGACATAAAAACACTATAACAATGCCCTTAAATCCTTCCAACGTCTTTTCAGTTTCGCATTCGACCTATTCATTTCTCTCGCAGCTGCATAAAATCCGCAGTCTGGTCGTCGGAGCTAGCCTGCCGTGATTTCCACAGACTCGCGACCATCCCTCATTTTCCCCATCGCAGCAGACCCTAGAGCAAATTTAGCTCGAAAAAGATGACCGTCGGTCCGTTCCTAGTCGACGGAGAGCCACATTCCGGGCACGCGACGGACCCCGAGGCTGCGATGCGAAATGCATCCGGTGCACTACCGGTGCACCGTCGACGACGTATTCTCGGCAGACGCGGCGCGTCTAGCAACAGGCTCCAGGAAACGAACGAGAAACGTTGTCCTAATCGAATCGTCGGGACGACGCGGGGTTTTCAGGCGCGCGGGAAATCGGGCCCCGTTAATTGGCAATGATCTGCGGTACGCGCGGAAAAACCAGCTCTGGAACGAGCGTAATCGCGAGCCGAGAGAAACTGGGTTAGTTAGTTCACGAGCAAGATCAAGGGAGAGGACAGGAGAGCTCATTGAATTAGCATTCCCGAGACGGGTTGTCGTCGGGCCGGCCGCCTCGGTAACGACATGAAATTAGCGTAACTGGACCACACGGGACCCGTTATGGTTTACAGGCGTCGCGTTATCGACACCGGAAGCTACGACAACGGCCTAGGTGTTGGCTGACCAGGGAAAATTGTTGGGAACTTTCGGGGATCACGGCACATTATGCTTGCGATATCAAGTTTCGTAAACTGGGTCGAAGGGACGACCGTGGCTCGATGTACATACCACTGCCGGCTTGATATAGTGGCAAGAACAGAATTTATGCCCGACCACGAGAAAGTGCCTGTTGCTATCTGGACTTTTTGGTGTTCACGAAGAAACTGCGATTCCGCAGCTTCGTTTTGCAATTTCTGCGGGTTTCGTGTTTTGTTAGCTCCTACGCGCCGTAGATCGACAAAGTTTTCTCGGGACGTAAATTATTGTTGCAGCCTCGTGGATTTTCTAGGTTACTTTGCCGCAGCGACGATTCTAAATGGACATCATTTCGGAAGTTCGCGGTTCTTCTGCGTAACAAATGCACACATTCCGCATATAATTCGTGGATATTCGGTAGATTCAGGAGTTCTTCTTGCCGCGATGCATGCGGTAGATTCTGATTACACAGTGCTGATTCATTGCATTAGATGATGTCTACAGAAATACCACCATAACTCTGATCGTAAACTAAATCTGCTTTGGCATCATGTAACAATGAGCCGCCAAGACCTCGTAACTGACAAAAAAAGATTGAAACAACTATGTTCGTAACATTGTTCTTTAACACGTCGACTATCGTGTTGGTAACATCGAAAATTTATTATGAAATTAACGTACTTTATCGAACCAATCTGAGATTGGAAAGTTGCGTTCTACGACATCAATAACTTTTCCAGCATTCTTACGTTTTGCGGATCCTAATGAAATCAGGAAGATACAAAAAATTACCGTAAAAATAAATGTTCAAATCTGAGAGCAAGTAATTCCTCCATCCAAATATGATTGACGGGTTAGTTATATATACAGTGTTACATGTTCCCGTTAGCTCTATCATTAGATCTCAGAAAATTCGAACACAATGACCATTCCACCTGGGAATCAGATCACAGCGTAACCCTTATTACGAGATTATTCAATAAGTAGTGATTTAGATGTTCACGTTAGAGATGATTCCTTCGATAATGTTTCGCATTTACATTTCCACTTTTTGAAAATATTACAGAAATGATTGATTTACCGGTGCAATAAACAGCGTGACATCTTATCTAGAACGATCTATTTTAATAAATATTAATCTCTTCATTCGTTCAGTGTTTTCATAAGTTTTTCTATGTATTTCTATTTCTATTATTATGGTATTTTAAGAACTTTTGTCTTCTACATGTTCAATTTTAACAGATGAATGATTAATTGAATTTGATTAAGAAACTCTAACACGTCTTGTTCGATGAAGCTTATTGTGCTTGAAAATAAACTAGAGGCACAGTAACTGGCTACCACCCCACAGTAAATGACTACCCCATGTTAATCGGCTACTCCACAATAACCGGCTATAAGAACCGGAATATGAAAATGTAACATACCCTATTCGATAAAGTTAATTGCGCTTGAAAATAAACTAGAGACACAGTAACTGCCTACCACCCCACAGTAAATGGCTACCCCATGTTAATCGGCTACTCCACAATAACTGGCTACTCCACAATAACCGGCTATAAGAACCGGAATAAGAAAATGTAACATACCCTATTCCATAAAGTTAATTGCGCTTGAAAATAAACTAGAGGCATAGTAACTGGCAACCACCCCACAGTAAATGGCTACCCCATCTTAATCGGCTACTCCACAATAACTGGCTACCCCACAATAACCAGCTACTCCACAGTAACCGGCTACCCCACAGTAACCGTCTCCACTACTCCAGCAGTCGAATTACCTGGATCTTAACGCTATCAGTCTTGAAGTTAAGGGCCCTGCCGATGTTGAGCTTGAGCGTCTCCTCGGGCAGCGTGTGTTCCTCCCTCGGTTTGAAGCAGTTCGAACAGAGTTCCTTCTTCCAGGCGTTCTGCACGAAGCGGTTGCATTGTGTGGACATCGTTGCTTCACTGCAGCGACAGCGAAAGTCCCGTTACATCATCACCCTGAAATGAAAAGAGGTTGAAATAGTAATCGACCGATTCCGAGCGGCGAGCCGGTGAACGGAGAGGTATCGTGCCGCACGTGTGCAACGCCGCACGAGAAAACCACTCCTCCTACACTGCCGCGTGCAACTGCAACTGCGACTGCAACGGAGCGTTATCCTCCGGGGAAACATTACTCCAGATATACAGGGTGTCCTCGAGTGACCAAACTTCCGATTCCTAGGCGAGACACCGCACGCTATCCGACCCTCCGAAGATACCGCCGTGAACTTGCGTCGTTCGGTTTAATTAGCGAATTACAGAGCGCCCCGATAGCGGCCCGAAAGTAGTTTCTAACGGGATTTGCTTGGTAATCTCAGGTACACGATGCACGCCGGCGCGGCGGCGGCGGCAGCGGCGGCTGCCTAAACGTCCTACTGCGAATCTGCTTGATCGCGCGCCACGGCTCCGCTGCCTGACCTTTGCTTAATCAGCTTCTGCTAATTCACTTTATACCGCCGCGCTCCGTGGCTAATTGAAGATTCATGGACTCGCGTTTTCCCGCCGATTTTTTCGAGCCGCTTCTCCGCCAGCTAAATGAACCATCTCGATCCTTCGATCAAGCACGCGTGATCCTTAATCGTGTGCTATGGTAGTGCAATATACAGGGTGTCCGAAAAATGCCTCGCAATCTGAGAATGGAAGGTTCCTGAGGTCATTTGAAGTAACTTTTTCCTTAGCGAAAATGTTCTACAAGACTTTGTTTACGAGTTATTAACGAAAAACACTGACCAATGAGAGGCGAGATCAGCTGGGTCGAGGCGGCCGAGCCAATGAGCGGAACTGGGCTTCGTGCGCTCATTGGCTCAGCCGCCAAGCGCTAGGCGAGCTCGCCCCTCATTGGTCACTGTTTTTCATTAATAATTCGTAAACGAGGCCACGGGTTGCATTTTCGCTAAGGAAAAAGTTACTTCAAATGATCCCAGGAACTTCTCATTTCCGGTTTGCGAGACATCTTTGCGACATCCTGTATGTAACGAACAGAGGACAAAATTTATCCAAAACCTTTCCGAAGCCGAATTTCAATTGTCATTGAACGTAAATTGTTTAATAGCTGAACCTAATATTATCGCGTCGCATATATGATAGCCCTTCTTAATACTTGTAACCCGCATTACCTTAAGCGCCTTTCGTTTCTATAATGTTACTAACGTCCTCACCATTCATTATACTCTGTAATATTCTGTAATGTAGTATGTTATAATAAATCTCATGAAAGGTTTCCTTCTAATAAAAGAAATAGTTCGAACTTATTCGTGAAATTATTATTTATCCCTAGCATGATTAACGGCAGGACTACCAAACTGGCTGGTTACTATAAAAATGTTTTTATCAGAAATTTGTACACGAACTTCTTCAGTCACAAGTTTTCCATTTCTTGAAGTCGTTGAAATTACAGAGACCGAATAAAGTTTTCAATCGAAGTATATATTGAAGTAAAAATGACGGAAAGCAACACAGTTTTAATGATCATTAGGTTCAGTGTGTACGTCTTGATGATTCGAAGAAGAACTTGTTACGCGCGGACTACAGATTTTTATTCATCTCTGAAAAACCGAAGGCTCTCAGCGCGAAGCATCGGGAGCCCCGTGAAACTTCCATTCCGTATTTTCCGAGGATAAGTTTCCATTCAAGTTTTATCGCTTTCGAAAATGTTGATTCCGCGCAAAGATCCAGCAGAGTCGCTTACAGATCCCGTTCCCCGCGGAAGTAATTTTTTTCTTCGCGAAGAAGTAAGAAATCCTCGACGATGGGAGAGCAGATTGCAGTGAATTTTCAAAGAAAGCCGTCAGTAGAATTAACCAGAGGCGCGCGCGCGTTCCAGGCAAAGAATGGAAAAACGAACGGGAGCCGAAGAACCGCGAACTTTTTTGGATCGGAATCAAGCCTGCGGAATGAATTCTAAAGCCACTCGGTTTCCGTGGGGCGCGTTTCAAGCGCAATCTCGCGATGCACCTGCGAGGAGTGGGGCGGGATAAAAAGATAATTAAACATCCGCGGGGTTTCCGCGTGCCCGCGAGCGAGGATCGTTTCACCGGTGTTCGACGAACAAGGAATTGAACTTTAATGAAGCGCACGCGAACGCTGGCTGCAAATAAAAGCACCAGCTAAACGATGGCTTATTGTTAACGTTGTTCTTCCGTGGAAACTTTGTTCGGACCAACTTGCATAAATTATACGGCCCCCGGGGGGCCGCAGGCACGGGAATGAGTTTAATCTCCGATACTTTACGAGCTTCTTACAGGCGGATCCCGTTCGGGGCGATGCTACAGAACGATTTCTGCCACTTCGCGGGTTCGTTAACGTTCTTCCGAACAAACGGCGACAGCGAATTTTCGAGCAGACGTTTGTTTCGCCGGAGGATCGGAGCCCGGCGAAAGATCAGGCGAGCCGGTCTCTCAAATGTCAGGGGAGATCGAAAGGTAAATGCGTCGCTGGAACAACACAAAATGGCTCTTCTGCGGGCTCTTAAAATTCTTGGTTCGACCTCCGAGCAATGAATTCTCGAACACACTTAAGGCCGCTTATTCGAACGGCTTGTCGAAATTATTACGCGGACCGCGATCCTTCGTTCATCTCCCGAGGAATGCTCGAACGGTTCCAGGGATGCCCGGCTGAAGAATTGCTTGCAATCGATCTATATGCAAATTGCAGCCCACTGTTTATTTCGTGACGGATGAAACTCTAAAATATCCTTGAAACCGCTGATTCTAGAAATTGATACAAATTTATATGTGTTCTCCGATCCATAGCGGACCTCCTGGGGGATAAAATTGTCGAACAACTTTAGAAACAACCGCTCTAACAATTATTTCAAATCATTACCAATCGTTACATTAATGATCGTTCAACCAGAACTTTACTCCGCGAGAGAAGGAATTCTCAAGTGTGTTTAAAACTACTTACTTTAAAAATTAACGAAAATTATTACACGGACTTGAAGCCATGATTAATAAATAAGCGATAATTATCGACAGGTCGTGTAAAGGATTACCACGGTAATAATCCTGTAAAGCGACGTCGTGCTTGCGCGAAGAACGCATTAGCAGACGTTTGGACAAATTAAGAAATAATTTACTGCGGTCGCGTCAGTCGCATAAACGATTCAAGTAATCTCTGTAAGCACGTACGAGCGACTATTATGATCGACGATAGCGCGAAACGGCATCAAGTCATAAGCAAAGAGTAGAAAGCAACCTGAAGCAGGTGTAGATGTCATTTATAAAAAGATTGCGCAGCTGTCGCAGGCAAGACGCGGCATCGCAACACGAAAAAATACGAGCGTTCTGCGGGCTGGGTATCACGGTCGATTAAGTTCGAAAAAAAAAATCCTAGCCGCGGACGGGGCGGTCACGTCGCAGAATATTCTCTCGTCGGAAGACGGAAGACGGTCGAAAGTCGCGAAATTCCCCCCCGCGCGTTTCCCCGCGACACGGAAAGTTTCCGCGATTTTTATTCGGCCGCGCGGCGAAGTTCGCGCCTCGAAAAGTTCTCCGCGATCCGGAGACGTCAGCTCCCGCGCTGGATCGCCGGAAAATGAGGGGCCGTCCCGCGAGCGAACACCGGAGGAAGTCCCATTTGGCAGCGTTAGCCGCGCGGCCCCGAAAATTTACTGGCGAATCTGACAACGGCGAAACGATAATAAATATCGACGCTGTTTCCGCGAGAAATAGAAAATCTTTCGGCGTTCCACGGAACCCGGAATAATCTATGGAGCGTTTTTGCTGGCCGGTGTTCGTTCCTTTTTTCAGGGAATTTATCTTCCGCGTGACTGGTACGGGAATGCAGAGGAAGCTTTCGGAAGCTTGCGACTTGCTAACTCGTTTCGAAATGAGCGAACGATTTGAGAGACTCGATCGATGTTTTATCGTGAAGAATCGTCGCTTAGACGCGGCAGAGCAACGACGGTTGATAGTGATCGAAATTAACGTTATAGTCTTAATAACGTTAACATTATAACGTTAATTTTATAATATTAACATAACCTTATTACCATATAAATACAATAATACAAAATTATAAGGAACTTGCTTCGTTACGAGCGAACGATTGAGAGACTGGATCAATGTTTTATCGGAAAGAATCGTCGCTTGAGCATGGCAGAGCAACGACAGCTGATAGTGATCGAAATTAACGTTATATTCTTATATTAATTAATATAGTATGTATAATATTATAATAATAATAATAATAATAATAATAATAATAATATATAATAATAGTATAATATAGTATAATATATTAGTTAATTTTATAACCTTATTATCATATAAATACAATAATACAAAATTATAAGGAACTTGCTTCGTTACAATTTTATTATTTTATGTAATATTTGGTATGTAATATTTTTTATTATTCGACGTGATTGTAATAAATTATTTGTAGTACAACTAGATTTCCGGCGGATTTACATGGAAACCAAAAAAGTTGCCGGACCGACTGCACGATGCAGAAGCCGCATGGATATTTATTTCGTTCCCGGATCGCTTTAACGAGCATGAGAATAGCGTAACAGTGCTTTAAAATCGTTTAAACGTTTCCGCAACTTCGTAATTAGATTTATTCATTTTTGTCAGAGTTGCATAGAACCTAATTACGGATTCCGTTGCTTACAGTGCTAACGGTAGACGTGTACGTTTCCTGGTGTCGCCGTGTTTCGATGGAGGTTAGACGCGCGGCGGCACCATGAAATTGAACATTACCAGCTCAACGTTGAAGTGCTGAATAACAGGAAAGCAGCGATCAGCTGCAGGCTGCGGAAATTGAACCGGGAAAATTGTGCTTGGGCGAGAGGACCCGGCCGGCCGGCAATTATTCGATCGATGCGCGGCGACACAATATAAAACGCGAATGTACATCGCCGGGAGGGCAGCAGGCCAATCGCGCTCAATTCTGAGACATTTAACCGGGCCGGTGCCGTGCAGGATTCCGTTCCATCGAAAAGGTTAATCCGGCAG